AACATAATCTGGTTAAAAGTGGTAACATTTTCATTGAGTCTTAGCTTAACCTTGTTAAACTTGTGGTACCATACAGTAAGGCTTAACTTCAACCTTGTTAACTAGTTGAACATAATCTGGTTAAAAGTGGTAACATTTTCATTGAGTCTTAGCTTAACCTTGTTAAACTTGTGGTACCATACAGTAGGCTTAACTTCAACCTTGTTAACTAGTTGACTACAGTGCAGTGAAATACTTTATGTTTACTGTTACCACACTTCAAGCTTAAATGCAGCCTTTTTAAAGTTGTAGTATCTCCAGGTTATCCTTTGAAATTTATCGTCAGGCTTAATCACATAAATATATGGTACATTCAGTGAGATTTAACCTTAATAAACTTGTAGTGTCTTCATTCGATTCAGTGGCGTAGCTACGGGTGGGCCTGGGCGCAACATGGTTCGCCCACTCAGCACCCAGGCCCACTCAATAAGAATCTACTTGAAGGTTCTCGTATCTAAATAAGTAATAGTAGCGCCTATTTTTTAGCTCCCTGTAACTTGTCTCTAAGGTTTTGTACAATTCCTGTCTGTCCATCGTAACTCCAGTCCCACCCAAAATTTCGTACCGGGCTACGCCATTGATGCGAGCTAACTTTGCCTTTAAAAATATGTGGTTTCATCACTTGAGCTTCACTTTATCCTTCGTAACATGTGGTTTCTCCAATTGGACTTAGGCCGAGTGTGGCCTAATGGTTAGCGTGCCGGACTGTGGATCTTCGTTCGCGTTTACTTATGGAATAGAAAAATCGTGGTCCATATTTTAGAACCGTGTGTGCGATCTCCCTCTACCGGTTAAATCTCACTATCTGGTGAGAAAAGAGTTGGCGGCGGATGCTTTTGACTAGCTTCCTTCCCTTTAGTCGATCAATTCCAAAGTAGTATGTAGTACTTTTTTACTCTTATACTTAATTTAGAATTTCTAAAATATGTATCTTTATTTGTAGTTACCTCAGCGTTTTTAAGTGCTTGCGAGTTTCACCTCTGCTTAATTTTAAACTTTGAACTATTGTCACTTGTATTTATATGTTAAAAATTTCTTTTCTTTTTCACCAGAGATGAAATTTAAAAGAGAATCTGTGACGTAGAGGCCTAATACATTCTTTGATTGGCCGTACCCTCTGCTCTGGACTACAGTCTCACCTATTCAAGGCTTATCAGCACAGCTTGAGTCAGCAAACCAAAGAAATACCATTAGGTCTCTTATAATCGTGAAGTGTATATAATATCTAAAAATAAAACATAGATATTGTTACTTGATCTTAGCCTCAATCTGTTTATAGTCGAACAATATGTATATCAATTTTCACCGGTTTTATCTACAAATATGAGTATGTTTTCTTCTGGTAATTTAACTACAATGCTGCGGAATAATGTAAAACTGTTTTATTTATAGAAACCATCCTTAAATGTCATTTCTAGAAGTCTGATTTCATCATATTTTATGTGTAACAGAGTTAATATCTTTAAGATATTATTGAAGAGTCGTCAAAGGAAATATGCGAAAAGTATGCACACGAAACCAAAAAACCACTTCTTTGAAAACGTGACTTCTTCGTACGTAAACGTGATTCAACTTATTGCGTATTACGCAGTTTGCGCCACTGTTATTTACATGCGTATATGACGTATTTAACCATAAGATGTTTACGTTCAAATTTTCCAAACATGGTGTTGTTACGCGAAGCGACTTTCAATAGGGTTAAGCACAATATTCAGTTCAACACTAAACGATTCTGATAATGAGATCACGCCTGTGCTTGAAGTATGGTTTCTGGTGGATGCATAATTTGATCCTCACGCCTTTTTATACATTGTGTTATTGCCTAAGCCACTGCTACGTGCGGAGAGAGGAGGGAGGATTAACTTATCACTTAAAGTGTTTTTAATCTGTATATATATATATATATATTGAAAATCTAATTTTGCTTCTTCTTCTTCTTTGTTATTAGATACGATATTGGTTAATCAAAGCTACACCTTTTCGTGACTAAAGCCCGGTAATTAAGGTGTAAAGGCAATTAAATAAAATATCTTTATTAAATACCGAAGAGATAAGTAAAGATTTCCTTAATAGTTGCACAAAAAAATCAGAAATATACGTCATTTTTTTTTAAATTATGCACACAAGTTATTTATCAGCAGACAAGTATTTCTATTGCAAAAGACAAATTTTAGGCTATAGTAAATATCTAAAAATCAAATATTTAACTTTTCAGTTGGTACAGATAATGATAATAAACGCTAAGTTTTCTGTGGTTTGTTCTTCCCTAAATAACTTATCAAAGACAACTGATTCTGTGTCTTAAACCAACTAAAAATAACTTTCGAATATTAAACACTTTTATTATTAATTATTTATAAAAAATAAAGTTTATTTACAGAGTAAATGTAAGCATAACAAACGAATTACAGATATAACAAATACTTGGGTTTCGA